ACGAGCGATTCAGATTTTGATTATGTCCCTATTGGACATAAACGACCCTCTTCTACTGCATATGAGAGCGAAAGCTCTGATGAGGAGGTTTCAGTTCGTGGTGCTACCCCTCCTCGGTCACCAACTCTAGAGGTACATGTTCGCTCTAAAGCACCTTCTCCTCCACATGCTTCTATTCCTATTTCCTTATCCACAACCTTCTCGGTTATCACATCTCAACCTTCTTCCACGATTCCCATCCCTACACCCATTTTTGTTGAAGCTACTACTACCACAACCACGGGAGTTCAGACCAACATATCTGATACGGGGGTTCATTTTTCTACTCAACATACTGAAACCCCTATCAATACTCAACATCCCGAAACCCCTATCACTACTCATCATCAATCTCCTACCTATTCAACTGACACCAACATTGTTCTTGGAGGTGAGGACTTGAAGTTTGATTCCACTTACTTCAATCCTTATCGTGTTCAGAGCGACGATGATGATGGCACTCCTATCACCAAGCGACATCTTAAAGCTGTGATTGATAAGCTTGATCAGTTACTTTCCTCTTCCTCTGCTAATCCCTACTCAGAAGTTGCTCTCAAGGCCCTCTTCTCTTCTGCAGTTAATGAGCATGATAGCTTTATCTCCAATGCAACGAAGGTCATTGATGCCTCAACTTCTCAATGCCAGAAGGCTTCGCTTGCAGTGGAAAACTTTACTAAAGAATGCAAGGAAGCGAACGCAAAAGTCAAAAAACTAATCTTAGAAGCTCAACTCTTTCTAGATTATCTTCAAGCTGCTGCTCAGAAAAACGCTAATACCGTGACTGCTTCGGTTGATTCTCTTAAACGGTCATTGGAGGCCGAGCTGTCCCAACTTGGTGTGGATTGAAAATATGTTGAAGCTGCTAATGAAAAGCTTCATACCAAGGTTGATGAACGGTTAACTACTCTTGAGGCAGAGCTAGCAGTTGAAAACAAAGTTATGGAAGAGTTGGACAAGCGCACTTCTCAGCTCAAAATTCAAAACTTGAAGCTCCGTACTGCAACTCAAGAGCTTAATCATCTAAAATCTGAAAGATAGGTGATTTGCAGTTATGTTGGTGATGTCCATTTGATCCTGCTTCATCTCCTGGATGCTCATGACTCAATCATAACGATCTCCATTTGTCGTCACTTGGTTGAGAAGCTACGTCCTGCCTTGGAAATTCTCAGTCGTATTGAAGGTGTTTCGGACACTGTCGTTCTTCCGAAACAAGGGGATAAAAGAAATCACAAGGAGGAAATATTGTCAAAACTCAACCTCCACCTCCTCCAGAACCGAAAGCTACTGCTGGACCGAAGGATAATGAAGCTTCGGCCATTAAAAGTCAAAAGAAAAAGAAGATTATTGGCGATGATGGTGAAGACGATGATTATGATGATATCGTTACAGGCGCTCTTTCCAAGCCTGAGACAAAATTTAAGCCTTCGGAGCAAGAGCTTAGGGAGAAAATGAATCGGTTGCAGAAAGAAATGAAAGAGAAGGAACTGCTTGATAAAAGGAAATCGATGTTTCCCGAATGGACTATTGAATCGCTCCAAAGGGAAGTCGTTGATGAACCGAGTATTCTTTGGCTTGAACCTGTTTTATCGTTCAGTCTTGAGAACTCGAAGGATGCTCAGTTCGACATGCCAATCAACCGAAAGGCATTCATCTTTCACTGTTTTGCCTCAACTGCTGTCATTCCTTCTCCATACCCGAAGGTTTATCGGGATCTACTAGAATTTTCTCAACCACAATACCTGACCTTGAGCTTGAAGAAAATTACAACGGTCAAGGTATTGAAGCCCTATTCAGCTGGGAAATTTATTAATGCCAAATTCAAAGTAACCCGAGGCTCAGATAGCTCGGTTCATACCATTTCCCTAGCTGATCTTCCGAATCTAAACCCTCACGACTGGATACTCCTCAACAATATTCTGCTATGTAATCCTCAAGAGTATCAGCCGATCATTGACAATATCAAGTGAATGCTTGTTTGTTACATTCATGAAGTAGCAAAGATGGATCAAGAGATTGCCACTTCCATTCACAAGCGAACTACGATCAAACCAATGGGAAGAGCTGGCAATATAAACACGATGATCAAGGGAAAGATTGACACGAAGTTTCACACGGTGATGTTCATTAGGGGTGAAGGTCAAAATGCCTATTTGCTCTTATTGACAAACACCTGTTCTCTATGGTTTGCTTGAAACATATTTTGGAGATCATTCATAGATGTAATCAGAACAGTGAAACTGACAATAAGCTGTTTACTAATATGCTTCATTGGTATATTCAGTTTCGGCAAACGCTTCTTGCTATTATTCCTTGGTTGTTTAAAGTTGTGAATCAAGTCAAGGTCACAAAGCCAAAGTGATGGTCTCGCCCCAATTGACGCAAAGGGGGAGATTGTTGGGATTATAATGTTGCGTCTTGGGCTCATTCCTTTTAGCCTGGTATTATAGTCGGGTTGGGCCTGTCCAACCGTGCATTATTTTATTCTAGGGTTTTAGTATTTAAGGTGCATGCATGCATCCTTAGTTCGTAATGTTTTTATAATTCTTATCATAATATTGTAAACCCTAGCTCGCCTCTACACTGGAAGTTCTTTATCGAGCTCTGCTGAGGCATGACTACGTTTGAATCATAAGCTTTATATTGATTCTATATTGTGTTCATTGTTGTGTCTGATTGAATTGTTTGTTCTTCATTAATATACTTGTGAAAGATCTAAACGATCATGCGATTTATTCTCATCACTGAAAAGTGTAAGCACGAAGCTTAGTGAGTCTCCCCAAACTATCACATACCATACACATAATAGCATACATTGGGCCTTGCCTACTACATCGGGCCCCGCTCGGTATCGGACGAATCCGACATCACACCAAAGTCTGGCATCGGGCCCCACCCGACATCGGACCGAAGTCCGGAACACATAAACAATACATGCAAGAATCACAAAGACATCAAGCATAGAGACCTTCCTCGGGCTTGCCCCGACATCGGACCGAAGTCCGGAACACATAAACATATAAACTACATCGGGCTAACCCCGATATCGGACCTAAGTCTGAAACACATAAACATATAAACTACATCGAGCTAACCCTGACATCGGACCTAAGTCCAGTATATGTAAAATACATAAATGGGTCGGCATTGATGCATTCGACCCGTTCCTACTGGAGGAAAACTCACCTCTCAAGCTGGTTGTTGAAATCTTAAGTGAGGAATCTCTGATGGATGCTCTGTTGACTCCCGAGCTATAAATTCACAAGGAACACTTAGTCAAAAATTGAAAATCCTTCTAAGGGTAAAACGACCATTTTACCCCTAGTCAAAGTCAACGCTCTGTTCAATATCAAAGTCAAGGTCAACTTCCAGTTGACCCAACTCGTCGAGTTACCTCCTAAATCATCGAGTCCCTAGGCTATTCAGACTTGTGACAAATCAATTCAACTCGTCGAGTCTCTTCGCAGACTCGTCAAGTTCCACCTGGTATGGAATCGGGACCAATCGACTCAACTCGCCGAGTCCCTCCCCCCCCCCCTCTGGATTCACCGAGCCCCCTTTCCTGTTTGGCTATCTTGATGGATTAAGCCCCTACACCAGATCCAAACTTTATACTTCACATAAACCCCAAAAATGTCCTTTTAAGGGTAAAGTTTCCAACATTACCTATTAATACCTCTTCTTAATGGGTTTAGCTCAAATCCTAACTCCTTGGGACCTAAAACTTGGTCCTTAAGCCATCCATGCACCAAACTAAAGCTTACAGCCACATATCTAAACCCCTAACACTACTTGGACACGTAAAGCTCCCACCTTTCTCTTCATGCATGGCCTTTTTGGGCTAAAAAGGCCAAAATGACACTTTAGGGCTTGCATGGGGGATATAATGGTATAAAGTTTGCACCTTTATACCCTACCAACCCTTCAAGGTCTTAGATCTGGAAAAATACCCACTTGGGTCATCCATTCTCCAAAAGTTATCATTCTTGGGCCAAACCCCTTATAAAAAAGGAATGAAGAGATCTAATGAACTAGTGGTCAAGATAGAAACTTGATTACCATAAAATGTAGCCAAATAAGTGTAGTTTCTAGATCTACTCTCTTCCTTTTGAGTCTTCTAACTCCTTCTTCTTCTTCAAGCTTCAAGAACACACAAGATTACTCACAAATGGCTCACACACTAACAAAATTCTCTAGGGTTTCTTGGATTAGGGGTTGGGACTTGGAGGCTGGAAATGAGGCTATAAGGTGATGATTAAGTTTCTTAAATAGGGTATAAACCCCAAAATTAGGGTTACATTCTGGTAGACCTACTCGCCGAGTCGAAGGCTCTCAACTCGTCGAGTAGATGGCTTTAAACTCGCGTCCAATCTTGCTTTTACTCGAAGAGTCTGGGGCTCCCAACTCGTCGAGTAGCTACATAAAAATAAACAAACTACAACTAAATGCGTACAAGGAATAAGGCGTTACATGAACACTTCCAAAAAGTTCGTTACCTAGATGTGTATAAAAAATAGTTACCAGATGTGAACAAACCGAAAAGGTAAGAGTAAATTGTACAAATGGTCCTTGTGGTTTGGGTAATTTATTCATTTGTTCCTTAACTTATTTATTAACTCGGATGATCCCTAGTGTTTATTTTGTTATGCATTTGGTACCTGTCTTATGTTACAACCGGTCATAATGATCATATGTGAACACTTTCAAAAAGTTTGTTACCTAGATGTGTAAAAAAAAAGATAGTTACCCAGTTGTGAAAAAACATAAAAATTAATTACCTTAATAAGTGTATTCCCCCCCCCCCCACACACACACATATATATATATATATATATATATATATACATACTTATGGACTTTATATAGATTTCCGGACGTGTAACAAGTTCATAAAGTCCAAAATGAGTACAAACTAAATATCTCACAAGCACCCGGACTACAAACAAACTTCATCCCCATCACCCATGGTGTCCCTCCCTGGGCCGGCGATGAACCCTTTCCCATCGGATTTTAATGGATTTCCGGAGAATAAAAAGCTCGTATGATCCACCAATGTTAATCCAGTAAGGGAAGAATCATTTCCAATTAATGATGAAAAGGTGATGATGAAAAGGAAAGAGCAAGTGAATAAGAAAATCGAGTCGCAAAAGGTCATATCGTTATATTAAGATGAGAGGATATGAAGGCGGTGATTGAGAAGAAAAAAGGATCCACGAGGTTGTCTATGGGAATTGTACTCGAGCGCTTCACGAACGTATCGCTGCTTTGCGTTGGGAGTCTGCTCTTAAGGTAGTTCGTTACTTGTTTCTCAATTTAACTTTGATTTTCACACGTATTTCGGTGGTTGTGTTGTAATTGAATTCGTGAAATTCAAATTGAGCTTACTGGGGCATCTAATTCTCAAGTTTTATGGTATGCTGCAAACTTAGTGACACATTAAGATACTAGGTTAGATACCCTTGTAGTAGACAAGTTGATTATCCGTATCATTAACATCTAATAGAGAACATAAGAATGTTTCAAATGCAATATAAGAGGTTTACCAATAAGAAGGCATTTGGAATATGTTGTTGTATCATTTGTATAAAGTTTAGCCAATTTTTACTTAATGAAAGTAGAAAGACTTTAATTGATTTGGTTATTGCAACATTCTACTTTCATTGATTATTTTTTCGTATTAAGGCATTGTACTTTCAATGTATAATGCGTTAATAATAATAAAAAAAGTTAATGAAGGTAATATGTATTATGAAACAAAGCAATAAATATTGCTTTTGTATAATCTTACTTTCTTTTTTGTTTAATTATAGAATTATAGTTTCAATACTTTTCTTATTAAGACATTGTGCATAAAAAATCTACCAAATTCCTTCACAGACTTCTAACCTTCAGTTTTGTGATTTCCAACTGATGAAGAGGAAAAAAAAAACAGGCATTTCATCACACATAATTTATCAACATCTCTCATCATTTAATTATTTATTCAATAACATTCTCCTGAGCACAATAGCAAGAAACAATAGAATTCAAATATAACTTTGTTGTTATTAATATTTAATATCATGACACTATATGTTTTTCATGTTTTTGAACTACTTCATGAGCAGCTTTGGTACAGACCTAACTCTGCTATATACGTGAAGTTAATTGTGATGCTTGGAAAATGCAAGCAACCTAAGAGAGCAAATTCCTTGTTTCAAGCCATGATTGATGAAGGATGTGATGTAAACCAAGAGTCATACATTGCTCTTCTCTCTGTCTATAGCCGAAGTGGCCTATTTAGAAAAGCATTTTCTATTCTAAAAGTGATGAAGAACACACCCAACTGCCACCCTGATGTCTACACATATTCCATCCTCATAAAATCATGCCTTCATTTTCATGAGTTTGATAAAGTGCAATCTCTGCTTTCTGAAATGTTCTCACGAGGAGTCAACCCGAACACATTTACTTACAATACCCCTATTGATGCATACGGGAAAGCAAAAAGGTAATCCTTCAACAAATAGATTACTTTTTTAGGCTACATGGGACTAACATATGAATGTTTTTGTTTTCCAATTTGCAAAAGATTCGCTGATATGGAATCAACATTAGTGGAAATGCTTCGCCAAAGGGAATGTAAGCTTGATGTATGGACCATGAATTCAACCCTAAGAGCATTTGGTGGAAGTGGTCAAATTGAAACAATGGATCAATGTTATGAGAAGTTTCTAAGTGTTGGAATTCAACCTAATGATATGGGCATATTTAGTCATATAATTTATATATTATCTTAATACTTTATGTTGATTTTATCTCATTTAATGAACAAAAGGTGCTTAATTAGTTTAGAATTTCATTTTTCAGCAACAATGACATGCTCGGATGGAAAAGGAAACGAATTTAGCAATTGGAAAGCTTGGATCTTGGATTTTGAAGAAAGAAGGATGTTGTTGGACAACTTGAACCCTCGTTATTGGTTTAGCCATATCTCATGAACCGTAACTTCGATTAACGAGATTCAAAATGTTTTGAAAACTATACATAATTTTAGACGACTTCTGTGTTTTGAGAAAATGTTAATTCCAAAGCGAACTCGACGAGTTGGGCCTACAACTCGACGAGTTGAATAGAAGTTCCACGATTCTTAACGTTGACTTGCCGTACACGCGATTTAAATGAAGAACTCGACGAGTTTTTCCCAAAAACTCGTCGAGTTGGCTTTGTTTTCAAAATCTATATATAGGATCGCTTTCATTCAAAACCCTAACTAATTCTGGAAGTTTTGGATGATTTTTGGAGGCTAGAAGGGTTCTTAGACTTGTGGTTTTCGAGAATTCAAACCAGAACTCAATTTTGAAGAGATCAAAGGCAAACAAACATTACTTTTATCTTGATCTTTTGTGTGAACCATGCTTGAATCATTAGATTTTGATTTTAGGATGCTATTTGTTGTAGTTATGAACTAAAAGCTCCATACTTATGTTTAGACTAGATGATCTTATGAATATAGTTTGATTGAGTGGCTTGGATTGATTTTATTTGGTTATTTATCTTGTTAAGCTTGTTAAAGACCCTTACGTGTTAATGATAATTATTCTCTGTTAATAATCAGGTTTATTAAGTTGTATGAACATCTTCTTAATTGCTTGAATCATATAGTTTTGTGAAAACAAGATTGTATGCCTAGTATTAGTGAACATGAACCTAGGGTTAACTAGAAAATAAGTAAGTTGATGTGTGAGCCTGTGTGATGAACAACCACATATGATTTGATTGAATTGACAAATTTAGTTAACTAATATTACAAGTCTTACTTGATTTGAACCGAACACTAGGAAACTTGTTAGTTTAATCACTTGATCATTGTTTGAATTAACTTGTTTGCTAAAGGATTAGTAATAGTGAACATGAACCTAATCACATTAGAAATCGGTAACCATTGATATATTAATCCATTGCACTTGCCACGAAATCAACCATAGGAATAAGTGAATCAAATATGAACATAATTCTCTTTATCTTATTGAATCTAGTTGTATTTTGTTCCCTTAGTTGTTAATTGTCTTTTGTTTGAGTGTTATTTGATTACTAAGTTTCTAGTCTTGCAAAACTAGAGAAAACCCCTTTCCATTATTTGTTTTGTTTAGATAATATTAGCATTTATTTTAATTGTTTATCGTTCCATGTGTTCGATATCATACTTACCTGAACTAAATAGTTAATCGATAGGTACACTACCTATCGTGTGTTTGTCTTTGTTTTTAAGTTAGTAGGATTAAAACTAGTACTTTCCATACGTATCACCTAACATCAAAACCTTCATTATGCTTATAAATTCATATGGAAAACTGGAAACTATAAAAAGATGAGTGAAATGATGGAATACATGTAAAAATATCATTTCTCATGGACTCTAGTGAATTACAATATAGTCATAGGTGCATTTGGGAGAGCTGGAGATGTAAATCAAATGGAAATTTTATTTTGGTTGATGCAATCCGAGAGTATAAAACCAAATTGTGTTACACTGTGTTCGCTTGTATGAGGTTATGTGCAAAATGGCAAAGCAGAAAAGATCGTAGGCTATTGTAGTATATTGAAAGTTTGAATGTGATGGTTGATACTGTGTTTTTTAATTGTTTGGTGGATGCTTATGATATTATGGGATGCTTAGCGGAAATGAAGGGGGTGTTGGTGATGATGGAAAGTAAAGGGTGTGAACCTGATAAGATTACGTATAGAACTATGATTACAGCTTACAATATGAATGGAATGAGTAACCATGTGAAGGAGTTGAGGCTTATGCTTTCTTCAGTTGGAAAATCAGATTCTAGATGATAATTTTTTTTGAGGGATTTAATGTGTTGTTATATATGATTACAAAAACTATGTTATTTCATACAAGAACAATAGTCTGATGTTTTTTTTAAGATGCATATTTGTTCATTTAAATTATGTGTGTGTTAATGAAATATACAAACAATTATTGATCATGATTTATGGATGATATGAGTGTTAATGAAGTTTATTGTGATTTTGTAGATAAGAGTCTTGCATTAAATTATTTTAAGTTGAAAGAGCCACCTGGAGGTCAACTGAATAAAAGGTGCTGATATTTATAGTTTTAGCTATTAGGAACTTCATTGCATCAGAGATTTTGTAATTTTCAACGCAAAGTTCCACCAATGATGTACTGAAAGCTCTGTATACTATCTGATTAAATATTCACTAATCACTATATACTAAAAAGTTAAGTGGGCACATTTGTTTTTGAGTAACTTACACGACTGGTACCTATAGTTTAGGGTAATTTGTACGTTTGATCTCTAATTTATTTTTTTAACTCGGAAGCTCTCTACTGTTTGTTTTTGTTACACACTTGGTCCATACCTTACCTAAAAAGACTATTTTGCCCTTGATTTTTTAGTTTATTTAAATAAACACACCCCAACCCCACCACTCTCACCTTATCTTACCTACCCCACTATTTTTCCCTATTTAAATAATAGTCTTTTTAGATAAGACATGAACCAAGCGCGTAACAAAAACAAATAGTAGGGACCAAGCGCGTAACAAAAACCAACAATATGGACTTTCCGAGTTAAAAAATAAGTTAGGGACCAAGCACACAAATTACCCAAAACCATAGAGACCATAATTTACTATTTATTTTCCTTTGGTTTTAATGATAAAGTTATAAAATTACATATGTATTTTTATTTTTCTATCTTTTTTTACATGTATGGTCATTGTAATTGAACCGAGTAATCACAAGTTTGAAATTTGACTCGAGTCTTGATTTTCAAGCTCGAGCTCAACCTCGATAAAGTAATTGACACTTTCGATTTCGGTTCAACTCAACTGATTGACTATTAGAAAAAGAGAAATTTGTTCCATTGAAGCATTAAAGGACAAAAATGGTGTTACCAAGGCGTCATTGTTTATCCAAGGCATAATATTTCTTACAAAATCGATAATAATAATAATACAAAATAATATTTGAATCTTAAAATTTTGAAAAGCTACCATGTCTCTTAGGTTTTTTATAGTAAAAGATCATTGATAAACAAATGAATCTACCTTTATTCAAATTTAAATGACTGAAAACCTTTTGACATTTACAATTTGATCCAAAGTGTCGATCTCTAAGTGAAATCATAACAGGTTACAAATGTATTAAATTCAACTAAAAACCACAACCATAAATGAACCTCGATTAAATAAATGATCTCAAACTAAAGTCATGGAAATGAAAATTACATGAGACTAGTTAAATATATAACTCATATGAAAATTATAATTCATTATATATCTCGATCATTTGAAGAACTCAAAAGTTAATTACGAAATGATCTCAGATCTCTTCAATTAATTAAATGATATTAAACTAAAATCATAGAAAAGCTTTGCATGAGATTAATTTAATGATTATCTTGTGAGAGTTCCAATTTAAATATAAATCTTAATTATTAGAAATATTTTATACAATTAGTTATGAAACGATCTCATATTTTAATTAGAAATCATATATTGATCAATAACCTCGATGCCCATTATGAGAAACTGCCTAGCATTTAATAACATGTCAACAAACTTAGGTCGGTAATTATTGTTCACAATCCCTCCTACTAAAGTTGAGTGTTTACTATGATATGCATGTGCTCAAATTCATTTTCATTGATAAACGAGTCAAAATGTCTTGCTCATTAACACTAGATCACCACCACCATCGCCGTCGTTCTCATTTCCACAACACAAACATTAACATTCTCACAACGAGCGTACAACTTTCAATAAGTTCTTCCAATCGTGTGTCATGACGATGTATTTTTAATTCGCCATTTGTTGTCGCTGAGTATTATGTTGGGTCGAAAATTATATAAAGACGGACCTCTTTTAGAAGTTGAATAAGAAACATCTCCATTGTTGCTGAAAGTTACCGGAAAAGAAATCGATAGAATTTAGGAAGTGAGGGTTTTAAAGAAGCGGATGCAATTTATCCAAAATATTCCATTTACATTCAAGTTAAATTTTAGATGGTCTGAAAGTTATTAAAAAATAAAATTAAAGGTCCAAACAAATATTAAATTCTAATAACATCTCCCCTGCTTTATGATAATATTACACAAATGATCCTTGTACTTTATAAAAGGTCTCAAATGCAGTCTCTAATTTTTTCCATGACAAGAATGCTTCATATGGTTTTAGTTTGTTGTAGTGTTTATCCTTGGCACATATAAAATAATATTTTCCCCTTATAAAAAACGATAATAATTATTTATTTAGATACATTAAAGAAATCGATAGAATTTAGGAAGTGACGGTTTTAAAGAAGCCGATGCAATTTATTCAAAATATTCCATTTACATTCAAATTAAATTTTAGACAGTATGAAAGTTATTAAAAATAAAGTTAAAGGTCCAAACAAATATTAAATTCTAATAACATCTCCCCTGCTTTATGATTATATTACACAAATGGTCCTTGTACATTATAAAAGATCTCAAATGCAATCTTTAATTTTTTCCATGACAAGAATGATTCATATGGTTTTAGTTTGTTGGAGTGTTTATCCTTGGTACATATAAAATAATATTTTTTCCCTTCCTTTGAGCAAAAGAAGCATTTAATGCATCATACAAAAAAAGTAAAATTGTCAAAGCCCCGTATTTACCTATAAGGGTCCTAAGATATTCTATGATCAAAGACTTTATGTTAGTTACAAATTAGATTCGAACCAACACATTTGAGAGCAAACTACAGGCCTAACGACCTACCATTCATTCATATTGCGACTTTGTTTACCCGATCCAAGGGACTGCACCTCCACAAATGTTATCAAAAATGATTTTTTCTCACTCTCCACGATTCCTCTCGCGTCTAAAGGGTACATCTATGGCCCACATATAGACATTATTTTTTTTTATCCTTTTATTTTACATAGTTCATTTTATGTAAAAAGCAAGTGATCGAACCAATAAACAATAAGGAAAAACAAGCTACCTTAGAGTGACGGATAAATGCATATTATAAATGGGTTTCATATATATATATATATATATATATATATATATATATATATATATATATATATATATTATATATATAGAGAGAGAGAGAGAGAGAGAAAGAGAGAGAGACAGAGACAGAGAGAGAGATTAAAATGTCTCATATCTTTTATGTCTACAAATATTCCTACCCACTAACATTATGACACATGTCATCATTCAACCATTCAATTTAATTTTATTTGATATATTCCTAATATACTGATAATGAGATAGTTAAGTAATATGAAATGGTGACACATATCATAATTTTAATCGGTAGAAATATTTGTAGACATAAAAGGTAGGAAACACTTTAATATATATATATATATATATATATATATATATATATATATATATATATATATATATATATATATATATATAAAACATATTTTTTTACATCTTATAAACATATAGTTTGTACCACGTAAAATCATAATTAGTCAAGTTTGGATACATATTTTCAACATAACTTTTACAACACGTATGCAAGTATATAAATTTAGAAATGTATTTTATTGCTATATGCCCATAAATCAATTTATGGAAACTATTGAACTAGTGAATAAATGAATCAATGAAAACTATTAAATAACTTATATGTTATTCATTTCTTATGTATTAAAAATATCATTTTACGCCTTACGATTTAATCTTCCTTAATAAATGAAGGTTTTTTGCCACTTGTCAATCTCTCATGAGTTTTGACACTTGTCATTTTGTGGTAATTTTGAAATAAATATTATCTACTTGTCAATTTTTGGTTTGTATTAATTTTTAATTAAAGTCATATACTTATATATATATATATATATATATATATATATATATATATAAAGTATTAGATATATATATATATATATATATATATATATTAAAGTATTAGATATCATATATATATATATATATATATATGATATTAAATTATAATAAATATGTTTCTTTTTTATTTTAAAGTTGTACATTAAAAATATTTCTTTTTTATACTTTAAATTTAATCATTTTTTAAATCAACCCGTATAATATACGGGTCTCACACCTAGTACTTAATATATATTAGTTATATATTCCCAATTCATCATGGTTGTAATTTTCCAACTATGACATTAACCATCATATGTAGCATTCATATGACATTAACCATCATATGTAGCATTCACATATGTTTAATGTATAACAACCACATATAAGGAATTAGTTGAATCAAAATACATATGTTTAATGTTCAAAAGTCTACATAAACTTCATTTAAACATTATATTTTTGATTTAAATATATAGAATACAAAAAGGGTACTATATGTTTCATTTGAAAGACTTACATGTTAGATTTTTATGATAAGATTGTATTATTATAAATTAAGAACCATAAGTGTGGTTGTCTGTGTTTGAGAGGTTACAAAGTTATTCATTAGTTTTCAATATTTTGAGTATGAAATGTGGTTGGTACCTAACGTACACACCATACACGTACATATAGGATTATGATATTTTGAAAAGTGATAGTTTCCAAAAAAAACCCATAACTAAACATGAAATCTCTGTATATTATACCACTAGGTGTGAGACCCATGTATTATATGAGTTTAATTAAAAAAAATTAAATATGAAATTTTAATAATAAGAAAAAAAATTTGAATTTATAAGAAAAATGAGAAAAATTTTAAATTATTAAAATTAATGAGGCTTTAATGTATTGAATAAATTACATATATAAACATTTTCTAATAAATACGTTACATATATATTACCTTACATATTAAATATGAAATTTTAATTTAATAAAATGAAAAATACAATAAAATGACAAGTGGAAAATATAAAATCTAAAAATTCTAGAAAATGTCATGTGTCCAAATGAAAAAGAAGATGACATGTGGTAAAAAACATTCATTTATTAGAGTAGATCATAGTTTTTATTTTTTATTACAAGATTGTATTTTTAATTTTTTTATTCAATCAATCTATTTTAAAATAACTATCCATGTCAATTATTTTTTCAAAAAAATTTATTTTTACATGTAATATTTAAATTTAAATGATGTTATAATTGAATAGATTTTTTAAAATTAAAATAAAAAATATAAATATTATGCTAGATATATGATAAAAAGATACTATTTTTATTGTTTCCTTTGAAGTTTGAGACCAAATCCCTTTTCAACAACAAAAGGTAAGCAAAAAGCCCAAATACTACCAAAAAAGCCCTCTCCATCTGCGTCTGCATGTCCAGCCCACTACTCACAGAGACGACGAAATAGTTTTTTGCAAATCTGCTTAAGAGAGAGGAATTCGAGCTTGAAGACGAACCAGAACGAACAACATTACATACACACCAATCTTTCACACAAAGGACATTCATATATATTATGTATATGTATAATTTGTGAGTGATTAGGGTAAACAATTTCAAAAAGGACGCACTCAGTCGATTCTTTTGATGTCCTATATTTTCTAGGGCAAAAATTCGTTTTTGATTTGGAAATTGATCTATTTTACATCATAGCAGCACCTCAGGGGAGAGGGGAAAGGTTTCCTAGCTGGATATTGTTGCAGTGCTCTTCGCAATTCAGGTATTTCTCACAGAAACCCTAGAATTGGACGAAATGTTATATATTGTGTAAACCCTAGAACTGGAACTATTGGAATTTTTTCACTCTAGTAGATTATAGGTCAATGAATGTGTAATTATGTAATTGCAGTGCTGTATTGGGGCATTTTGATTGAATGCATGCCTGAACCCTAACCAAGTGTCAAAGTGACAAAAACTAGGGTCGTTTTTCATTTCTCAAACATGGGGCGTTGGTAACTCTATATTACTGGGGCATTTTTCTTTAAATTATGAACGTTTATAATGGTGGTTGCACGTGGGCATGGAGTGTACTAAGCAATGGTGTGTAATATACAGTGCAATTATTTGAATTTTACTCATGAGAATTGAATTGGCTTGCTCATTTGTGCACTATGACTGACTAACTTAACCTGGACACCTAATTGGTAGATAGCTTTCTTTGGATTCATGAATTGAATCATAACTATGCTACTGTTATAGCAAGAAATGGTTATCTTGGTGTAGATAATTTCCAAGTTAGTTCATTTTCTATGATCTTTGTTTTTCCATACAACATATTCAGGTTTGGTGGCATACCTTATATAACATATGACCTCTTTCTCTCTTTGTGTGCATAACCATTAGGAATGAGAATATTTTGTAATCTCTCTCTCTCTCTCTCTATATATATATATATATACATATGTATGTATATCTGTAATGTGATTTAGTTTTTGAATTAGGGTCATGAACAGACCTCTAGGTGCTTGAAGAGGGCATGCATGGATGTACTTCAGGGTTTATGCTTATAGTCAATGCTGAGTTTGATTCAATGGGAGGAGTTATTGATACCGGAGTTGGAATTTCTTCAAAACCATCTCTGCAGCAATCGTCAGATCTTGAAAAAACTCAAGCGGAACTTAGGTAACAGTTGTGCTCTTCTTTATGTTGCAAAATTTTGCTTTGACCCCTGTGTTTTTTTCTGAAATCAAGCCAATGTAATAATGTATGTTTTATTGCAGGCAAACATTCACTGCTGCTGAGAAATTTAGAAGAGAATTGGAATTTCTACAGAAAGTAATGGGACTAATCTTATCTTTATGTTTGAAAATCTTTAAGCTTAGATTGGTGATGAAATGGTTGGTATTTGCAGGGTGGAGACCCTTTAGACTTGAAACCTGGGAATGCAGCATCGATTAGCTTTCAGTCCACATCACTGACAGCAGATCGACATCTGACAAGGTCTGTATCTAGTGTGTAATGAATGTGCCAAGTGTTTCCAGCATGATTATTGCCTATTGATAATCTTTTATTATGGTTTTCTTAGTGAAGCAAAGGGTAGTTTTGCAATTACTGCTTCACCTCATGGAGATTCAGTTGAAAGTAGCGGTAGACTAGGTGCTCCTTCAGTCTGTGAACCCAACAGTGCTGATAATCTCATGCTATTCGATGGTGCAAATAACATTAACTTCTCCAAATTGGATGTTGGACACATCAGCAAGGAATCAGGCTTAGACTCTGCTGTGTTGGAACTTCCTAAAAAATCATATAAACGTAGGGTTAGGTCTCGACCAAATCGGGATGGGGCCCGTTCAAGTTCTACTGATGCAGTTCCTTCTCGTGGTGCTCATTTTCTTCCTTTTCGACATGCTTCCAACTCCAATCCTAAAACTCCTAATGAGTTAGATGGTGTGCCAGCTGGACAATCAACCCTTGGACCTCCACATGGTCCATATTCTGCTGTTTTAGATGCTAATCTTATACAAAACACTCAAGAGAATCATCAAGAACAGGTAGAAGACTTGACAGATTCCAAATCTCCTCCTCATGCAGACACAGTGAAAACTGAAATTTTTGTGGGTCCCACTCCCACTCCCACCAATGGGGTTGGAAACATGGAAGAGGTGAAAATCAGACATGAAGATGGAAATAATGGTGAAGTGATTCCCACAAAGGTGTTGGATTCTGAGTCATCATGCGGTCAAACCAGTCAACGTTTTGATGGGTATAGTTTGGCATCAAAGGAGGTGGTAGATGTGGTAGGTAATAATTTAGTTGCAGAAAAGGATGATAAGATATTGAATGTTGATAAAGATAAAGATAAGAATAACGATGGCTCGTCTATTAAGGAAGAGGAAGGTCTGAAAGGATCTGAATCTTGCTTGCAAAATGAGTTGAAGAATTCTGTTGCTACCAGAAAATATGCTCCAGATGGCTGCATCACCTCAGAAACAGAAAGAAAACATCAGGCTTCAAATGACACTGTTAGGCATTGTGCTGATGTGGCGGAGCAAATTGCATGCTCTCAGGAAAACCTCAAACAGGCAACCAAAGAACATGAAGACTCGATTTTAGAAGAGGCTCGAATTATAGAGGTTGTTTTTTGTTTTCATTTTGTTTTTAAAAATTCAAGGCATTTGATTGGCTCCGCATAAAAGTGTCCTAAATAGCTGATTTGAGATTGTATTGTAAACAGGCAAAACGTAAGAGGATTGCTGAGCTGTCTGTTAGAACTTTGCCATTGGAGAGACGTCTAAAATCACAATGGGATTTTGTGCTCGAGGAAATGTCATGGTTGGCTAATGATTTTGCCCAGGTTTGTTTTTGCTGATAAAGATCTAAGGGGCTGTTTCTTTTTTAATTATCCCACATTAAGTCATGTATGGGTAAAGTGGCTGAATGGGTAATGATGTTTGTCTGGATAAAGTGTATGCATATGGTTCATTTGTTATCGACAGAATAAATAACCTGAATGAGACTAAATGACCCTTTTACCCTTGCATTCCCCCCAAAAAAAATCACAGTATTTATCATTTTTAACAATATTCATCAATTTTAACGTTAGAGGAGCAGGATGTATAAAAGAGGAAGGGCAAACAGGTATTCTTTCTCTTTTCCTGGATAAATTGTATGGGTAAAGTGGCTGAATGAATAATGATGTCAATAAATTGTTGGCTTGTTGCATACATATGGTCTGTTTATTTTTTGAGGCCGAATACCCTGTTTTAATGAGATTAAATGACCATTTTACCCTTACATTCTGAATTCTTTTTTGCAATATTCATCAATTTAACATGAGAGGAGTTGGGAGGAAAAACGAAGAAATGAAAATAGGCACAAATGGTTTGTATCTTAATACATTAAGCAATCAAGTTCATTAAGTCATTCTTTCCAGATTAAGTAAAAAAGAAACAACCATGTGTAGCTATCCAGATTAAGTTCTTAACCCATCAAGCTGATTAAGTCAAAAGGAAACAACCTCTTAGTGGCTTAACCCATTAGATTAAGTAGAAAAGGACCTGTATAGCTGTCCAAATTCAGTGCTTGACCCTTTAAGGCCATTCACCCAATTAGTGAGTATTTGGTCCTATGTTTATAAACAGGAGCGCCTTTGGAAGGTAACTACAGCTGCTCAACTCTCAAAGAGAGTTGCTTTTTCTTCACGTGTAAGATTCAAAAAACAAAGCTCACTGCAAAAGCAAAAGGAAGTGTCTCACACTTTAGCAGAAGCAGTCATGGAGTTCTGGCACTTGATACAGGTCTTTTTTATAAGTTTTTGTAATCTTTTATCAACTTATTGTGAGTTCTGGCACTTATATTGTGACATTTAACAGGTGAAACGCGAGGAATCAGAGTCACAACTGACAAAAGATCATGGAGTTGGGATTCAGGGATATGCAATGAGGTTTTTGGAGTATAATAGCTCTAAAGCTCAATACAACCCAACTGAAGCACCTGTGACAACTGATACTATATCTGATCTAGGCATCATGGACCTTTCCTGGGAGGACAATTTGACAGAAGTATGGACTAACACTTGGTATCTTCACATGTCACGTTGCAATCACTATTACATCACATTTCACTATCTTACACAAACACAATGCCATAAACTGAGACAAACTATGCACACATTAATACTTCAATTTTTAACTGGTTTCATAACAACTTTGTATCACTGTAATGCAGGAGAACCTCTTTTATACAGTTCCACCTGGCGCAATTGAGGCCTACAGGAAAGCAATTGAATCTCATTTGCTTCAGTTTGAGGTAAACATGCGTGAAAAGTAAAGTACATTGTCCATATTGGTAAAAAGAGTAAAGTATGTTGCAATTTGCTCAATGATATTTGTTTCGAAACTTGTTTAGAGAACTGGAAGTATCATGCAAGAGGAAGTGGATACATCTGGCTATGATGCTGTTGCAGGTATTATAACATTTTGTATTAATTGTTAATATATCCGTTAAAATTCTAACTGTTGAGACTTTGAATTTCAAGAAAATGCATTTGAAGAGGACGAAGGAGAAGCAAACACATATTATCTGCCTGGAGGGTTTGAAGGTCACAAATCTTCAAAAGCTGCTCAAAAAAGAAGGAAAAACTTTAAAATTTATGGGGGGAGATCATATGAGATGGGAGGTGATGTGTCATTCATGCAAACTGGTGGGACCCAACCGTCTATTTTGAGTGGGAAAAGACCTGCCACCAGCTTAAATGTCTCAATTCCTACAAAAAGAGTGCGTACTGCTTCCAGACAGAGGATTATAAGTCCATTCCATGCTGGAACTTCTGGAAGTGTACAAGCGCCACATAGGACAGATGCTTCAAGTGGCGATACAAATTCCTTCCAAGATGAACAAAGTAGTTTACATGGTGGGTCCCAGATACCGAATAATATGGAAGCTGAGTCAGTGGGAGACTATGAAAAGCAGTTACAGTTTGACTCCATGGAAGTTTCAAATAGACCTAAAAAGAAAAAGAAGGTAAAACATCCGGTATGTTGACATTTACTCAAGTCTTTTTTTTTTTTTTTTTTTTTTTTTTGGCTTCTACCTGTTTTGACTTTTAATCTTGTTTTTTGTTGTTTCAGGGATCCGCATTTGACCACCGATGGCAACTTGATTCTAATTTTCAAAGTGACCAGGTAAAAATTCCGACATTTAAAAAAAAAATAATGCTTTGCACTTTGTTGTAGAGTCGTATTGTAAGATTAAACATGTTGATATACAAATGCAGAAGGATCACTCAAGAAGGAGGCTGGATGCACATCAATTTGATTCGAATGGAAGCAGTGGTATGCGTCTTCCTATTCTCGTATATGTTTAAATTTGGCAGACTATTTGATTCTTGATGCATTTATTAGATAACCCATTTAAAAATCTTACTCACTTGGTTGGTTTGATTCCTTGGTTTCTACAGTGGCTTCTCAAATGAGTAATATGTCCAACCCGAATAAGATCATGAAATTACTAGTGCGTGATCGTGGAAGGAAAGCCAAAGCACTTAAGGTATTATTAATTAATTCATTGCTTTTAATTACACTCTAAATTCCTATTCTATTTCGTTACACGGATTAATTGAAAAGTCAACTCTGCAGACCCCTGTTGGGCAGCCAGGGTCAGGAAGTCCATGGTCGTTATTTGAAGACCAGGTCAAACTTTTTTTCCACTAAATTTTTATACATTATATTTCTTGAGAAATAAGTGTTGTTTATAAAATGTCTGTTGTCTCCTCAGGCACTTGTTGTGTTGGTTCATGATATGGGTCCAAACTGG